ACTCCGCCGGCCAGCTTCTGCAATGGTTGTATTATACAAAGTTTTATTCAAAAGAGTTTTATTCAAATATATTACATATTATATACTTTTGCTGCCATCTTTATTTACCTTTCAGTCCCAAATTAATTATTCAACCGTACATTTTATTCTTCCATATGTACTTTGTTAGTGCATATTTCTATATCTAGTAAACTACCATTTGATGATTTGATCTAGTCACACACCATTTCAAATTACAAGCTTAAATTTTGTTCTTTTGCTAATGTTGCTTTCTTACCCAGGAATCACTATGTTAAGTTTTGTTCTTAGTATGTGTCAATATTTATATTTTTTTAACACACTGACAATAATAATAATTATTAAAAAAAATCTTTAATGTAGAGTATTTTTCAGTATCATCCAATCATGTGTTATCAAATTAATAAGAACAATTCAACAACAACCAATCTAAGAGTCAAACAATTTTAATGATGCAATAACACACAATTTGATGTTAATGGACAACAGAAATTTTTGAAGTGTACGGGTTATGAACAGTAGAAAATAAATTAAAAAAACTGCAATGCCCTGAAATAACTTTATAGTATATATGTGTAAAATTGTTTTTACATTTTATTAAAATCATTAGAAATATGAAGTTTAATTACGTCAAAGCAAGAAAAAATCGATAATATGAAGCGTAATTTACCCATTAATCCTTATGAATCATATTGTTGGTTTCTATGTACGAAAATTGGAATGTGAATAAAGATGTTAACTATATAAAATACTATATTACGATAATAAGGACGTGAAGTGATTTTGAGTTAAGTCACAATCCAGATTCTAAACTAACTATTTGAAATAATAAATTCTCATTCTAAATTATAATTAAAATTCTAAGTGTCCATTACTTTAATTTTTAATTTAAAAATTCTCTCTTTAAATAATAATTTTATAAGATGTAGTTTATTTTAATTTATTTTTACAATTTTTATTGTTATTTTGTATAAAAAGGTATATAATATTTATAAAGTTAAAATAAAGGTACATTATGAATTGCAAGTTTATGGATTAAAATAGGAATTAGTTCCCTTTTAAAACCAAATAATGACATGCTTCTTTCCAACTGTTTCATCATGCTCTTCAACAAGGAAACTCCATAAAAAAATAAAATGTTGTGCCAGCAAGGATTTCAGCTAGCTAGCTCTTAATATACCCATGATATTGAAACTAACAATTTAATAATGTGACAAATTTAAAAATTTATTGTTGTTACAATGAGTGAGAATAACCAAAATACTATAACATTAAAAAAAATCCAAATAAACAGTTCCAATGACTTTCAGTACCAGTTAATATATGAAAAAACAAGTACTAACTAAAGTTTCTAGGATATTTTTCATTGGTTAAAGAATTAAAAATAAATATTTTTTTAATAATGTGTAATACATTCCAATATTATTGACAATAACTTTTTATTTCAATTCCTTAATCAATATCTTAAGAACATTAATTGACAAATTATAAAGTCCACTGTAAAGATAAAATGAAACAGTGTAGATGTGGTGTTACAACAACTAAATAATTAGTTGATTAACTGTATGCTTATAATATGTAGTTATAAATTTTTTCTAATAAAAATGTATTGATATAAATATTGTGATTCTATGTTAATAATCTAATATATCATACTAATAATATAATGTATTTATAGTCTAATTCTTAATTTTGTCTCATCATATTATTGATGAGCTTGCTTAATTTTTTATACTCTAATTCTTGTACATATGCTAGCATAAGAACTTTCCAAGATGATAAGGAATTTCAAAATTAACTGAACTGCCACGACAGAAAAACCTAATAGATTATGTGACCCTATGTTTAATTTTATTGTTTGAACCCTTTATTACTTTCATTCTTGGTGTTGACCTCACTCTCTATCGAATGTCATGCTCATTTTATGATAAAGTAACATTGCTATGTCATGTTATAAAATGTCATCATTAAAATTAAATACCAACACTTTTTTTGTATTTAATGAAATTCACAAGAATTTCAATAAATAACAAAGAATGTTGAAAAAAAGTGTTGGGAAATTTGTTAGATATATCTTTCTCTTAAAACTCCTCTTGTCAGTGATAATTATAGATTATGGTGCAGATTATTTCTGAAAAAATTGTTATTATTAAAAATACATTAATCATTTAACTTGTTTTTGTTGATATAGTTTTGCCCAAGTGTAATTGCTTCGGTTACTGTACTTTTGATCTAATAAAAATTAATTTATTAATGTAGATATTATGAACATAATACTAATAGTATGATACACTGAAGGTATATGGTATATCTCAATTTCTTATACTAATAAAATTATCTCTTAATAGTTATGTGCTTATTAATTAGTATAAAAAATTAATATATATCATCAGTTTATCACAAGTCTATAATATTTATACAAACATATGATTTGTGCTAATATTTGTGCTAAAAAAATAAATATAGTTTAGTAAACTTCTAGAGAAATTCTTATGGAAGAAAAATAATCAGTATAAAAAATAAATAATTTTTTCTCATAAATTTGAAATGATTTATCGCTACAAATTTTTAAAAAAATTAAAAGAGAAAACTTCTCGAAATATAGAGATAGAGAAAAATAAGTTAAAGAGAAATTTTATTTTATTTTTATATTGATTTTTTTCTATCATATAAATTTCTCTAAAATTTTATCTAATCAAACTTAAAGACTAACATGATTTCAATCAATACAAACATTTTATTTTAGTGATGAAAATATTGGCTTTATTTTTTTATTATTATTTAAATTTTAAGTTAGGCAAGATGAGGTGGCACATTCCTTTGTTTAAATCATCATTTTTATCGGTAGAGTAGTATGATGTTATTGAATCCTTTGCATATGCAAAATGCCAAAGTTAATAATCATAGAATTACATTCATAAGAAAAACAATTATATAATTACCTCTTAACCGATTCAGAATGTAATGAATCCATGTTTGTTTAATCAACAAAAAATAACAATTAGACAAACGTTGATTCGCAACTGCAGATAATATTTAAAAAAACTGTTGTTTCATTATTAGGACTAGGATAAGGCATTTCTTCAAGAACATTACAGGACATTCAAAGCTAGAAGCCAAGAAAAGAAAAACCCTTTTAATAAATAGCTATAAGATACATTTTCATGAATGATTAAGATTTTATTGAAAATAATTTATGCAAATAACTTGCGACTTTTATAGGTTCTGTTTAACATAAATAAAAAAAATTATTAAATTATCTTAGAAGATGGTCATATGTTATATAAAATGTGACTATTTCGGAAGAGCCAGCATCAACTCAAATTTGGAGCTCTCATGACACCATTTGGCATCACGCCACAATAACATACAAGTTATAGAACACAGATTCAACCCTTCAGTGGTTCATCAATTTGCTATTGAAAATTTTTCTTGACCAATATTATTGCATGTTGTGAAATAAAATCAAATATTATTTAATATGGTATCTATCACTGAATGTGACAAAATCCAAGTTATTGGCCTCCAAATGGATAGATCAAATGTTAAGCATAGAGCATATCGTTACGACCATTCCAAGATATTCCATTGTTAATGAGTTCGAATTAGTGAATAAAAAATGAACACAATGCTACGTGGTGTCTGGTTGGTGTTGATTTCTATATACACATCCAATGATAAAATCTACATAACACTTCCCACACAACAGTGCAATCATTTTTGTCCCACAAAAATAATTTATCCATTTTTTTAGGAGTTGCTTTTCTTTTTCACACTTCCGTAAATTAATTTTTAAAAATAATTAATATCTTCCATAATCTTATTTTTGGAAGATACAAAAAGAAAAGGACAGTGTAGTTAGAAAAACCACAGTGCAAAAAGTATAAGCCTTACTACAAGAAACATGCAAACGTAGCCAACAATAACAACAATATCTTATTTGACCCAAAATAAATAAATAAATAAATAACGAGAATCACTTCTCCAAGCCAACCAAAAAATTACACACAAAAAAACCCATTTTTGAAAACAAAAAATGACTTACCTGCAAGTGTAGTGTTAATAATTGTGTGAATCTGTGATTAAACACTAATTAAAGAAAAAGTCTCATTAAGGAAAATACTTTAAGATGTGGTTTCAAAATAACTTAAGAACTCATCTGAAACCATTATTGTACCTATAACATGTTGCTTGCAAAATAAACATTAATCAAACATAGAAGTACCACCGTCTATAAAATAGTAATATCAATTAGTTTTCATCATTTCACTTATGTTGCTAGTAACTTGTTAATAACTATTTTTGATCATTGCTTGAAATTTTACTAATTAAAAAGACGTCAATATAAATTAACAACTTACAAACTAGTTCTTTTCACTTACCTCTCATCATTTCACTTATGTTCCTAAGAGTATATATATGATTTCGTTCTCAAGAGTAATAACCTGTGCTGATTGAGTTGAAAGCTTGCATACATACAGTTTAGTTCCTAAATTTGTCAACTTCAAGACAAATTAATCCCTCCAATGTTAAGTTAACCAAGTGAGGGAGCTAAATTAGCCACTATGTTGACAGATTTGAAGACTAACATGAAATTGACAAATTAGGGAACTATATTGACATAGAAAGACTAATATGTCATGAAGCTAAAAAATTTGAATATAAATTGTATACACACAAGTTTTCAAAAACCAAATCAACCAAGCTGGCACTTTCGAGAATAAAATTATATTTTTACGCAGTTACTAATTAACACCAAGGGTTAGTTAACATGGAGTAATAAAAATGTAATAATGTATCATCAGTAACATCTCATTTTAATTGAAAAAACAGTTCAAAGCAATCAATCGGCATATGAATTCAGACTGGTTTTCCAGGATAGCAATAAAAATATCAATGATGATATAACTTTCAAAAGAATAACACCATGACTAATATTACTAATAATGAATTTAACAAAATAGCCTAGCAATGATTGGCATGAAAATTTAGCTTGATTCTCAATACATTTTTCACATGTAATATCATTAGAAAAACTAAAATAAATTATCATTTAACAACCAGGTCAAAATTATCCTCATGGAAGCCCTTCCCTTAAAATTCACAGCTATCTAGTTCTCTATTTCTAATCCAAAACTTTTACTTTAGACAGCTGGACTAAAGATGCATATATACAAAGCTGATGTTTAATTGGTAGAGGCTGTTCTCTCACTTCCACAGTCTTTCCGGTTGCATACATTTCGAAATGGGTAGTTGAGGTTCCCACATTTTTTACAAGTCCAACTACCTTCAGGAATACTTGTATTTGGTTGACTTGGGCCCTTTGGTGAAGCATGTAAAAGCAAAAATCAGTATATGCTGTAAATAGATTACAATATGATAACATGATGAAACTATTCATAACACAATTTCATCCTCACCTTCCATTCTATTAAAATTGGGGAAGTGCTTTTAAATTGTTCCAGTAAAATTTCCACTTTCAAGTATTACTATAATAGTTTAAGCTTTTATATAATAACTTGGATGATCATTAGCACATTGAAACAAAAAATGAAAAGACTTACAGGTCTGGCAGCACCACAGTGTTTCATGTTGCAAGTGGTTCTAAAGGCAAAGTTAACATTGTCACATTTTGGACAGATCCAGTCCCCTTGGGATAAACCATCTGGCCCTGCATAAACAGTCCAAAACAAGAGGATGAATTTTTTCCTGTTTTCTTTTCTTGGCCAAGGCAAGATGAAATTTATGATGTTACTGAAAAACTTCAAATAGATACAAAATGAAAAAATACATTCTGATTTCGTTTGTTCCCCTACCCTGTCAGACGGTGGTGAAGAGATTGTTGTAAAGGACATTTGAGCCTCAAAGTTTTGTAAATTCAATAGTCTAAAAGACCAGCTCTAAAACAGATGTCAGGTATATTAAATAAAGACTAGTTGGTTGTAACAGAAGAAAAAAAAAAAGCAAATTATAGTAAGTTTGACATTCAAGATAATTCTTAACTACTTTTTCTGTTCACATTTTGAGTGAAATTCCAATTTCTAATTTTATTTCCTAATACAATGAAAAAAGCCAGCATTCTCATAAAATTTGCTTCTTAACCTGAAAAATTATGCAAAAAAAGGCACTTATAAATCAATATCTTTCTCATAAACTACATTATACCTACTATGCCAAGTTAATTATTTTAATTGACAACTGAGCTAAGTTGGCCAACCTGTTTTAGACACAAAAAGATCCTCAGAAATCCTATGCCAACAGAAAACTAAACAGATTCCCAATCTGGTCCTCTTCAGTGAACAAATATTATTTTGTGCTCATGAAGATTTAGAACCAGAATGTCAAAGGCCTAAACAATCCTAGATTGTGACTTTCTATTCGTGACCACTTGGAGGAAGCAGATGGACTTTTTATCGTCAGTTTATAGGAATCAAGGTTTAAAGAATGAGAGTGTTTTCCCTCCTGTAGAAACAGAGGAGGTTTGCTTGTGATTGGGGATATGAGTGTCACCACCAAGGTTGACTTGCATCATTAACACGGCAAGATAAGTAGTGGTATATTTTGGACCATGGTCCTTCAAGGCTTGGTTGAGGCCAATTTATTGGGAGGAGTTATTGTTTATGGTTTCTGATTTAGTGATTTCTGAGCTCTTTGCTTGATGCAATTTCAATGCAGTGAGATTCCTAACTGGAAATAGGGGAAGAGCTACAAGCCTACAACCATAATGAAGTGTTTTGATGCCATTATTCAGGATTATAATCTACAGCACCTTTCTCTAGAGTAAAGCTCCTGAAATGTACACAGTGCACTATAGAGAATAAAATGAAGCTGTTGATTGAAAAATAAATGGTTTAGATTCCAATAAAATATAAGAATGTGGATAATAAACTGGAAGTTTGTTAGAACTTAGAAATCACTACCTCGATTTTCTTATGAATGGTTCCCACCAGTACTTTACTGAGTTACTCTCTAAAGTACACTCTACACTTCCGCCTTTTATCTAATGCCCGTTTCACTTAGTCAGCAATGAGTGAGCATTTTGTTTCTTCATAGGATAGATTGGTTTATGTTTCCAAGTACCAGGTAGGACCCTTTTCCAGATCAAGAATATCAGATAATTTTCCAGTAATTCCTGAGGCATATAGAATTACACAAGGTTCTTCCCTTTTCTAGAGCATTTTTATTTGTAAGGATTTGGCAACAGACAGGAAAACATAATTTTTTATAATAAGAAATATTTGGCAAATCTATGATGCATTTTGGCTAGAGCAGAATGAATGCATCTTTGAGGGGTGTGGCCTCTAAATTAACTGAGATAGGGTTATATTATTAGCAACTTGCTGGTGTTCTGCTCAAGGTTGCTTTTTACTGGTAAAGCCATCTATCATATGCAAAGCATTTGGCCCTCCTCACTCCAATGCAGTGTTGTCAAATGGCCGTTATGGCGGCGCCATGGCGTGGCAGAAATGACGGACGCCGTTACGAAGATGGCGTGGCGTGGCGTGGCGGCGCCATGGCGGCCGTTACGAGCATGGCGGTAACGGCCGGCCATGGCAGAAATCATGATAAATGGCGTTTTTTTTTTAAAAAATTGGATTTTCTGCACTTTTGGGCCAGATCCGATCCGATCCGACCCGACCCGACCCAGCTCAGAATCCAACTGCCTAAATCCAGGTTTTTTCTCTCTCTTCTCCTTACGATCTCACTCTCCCTCTCTTTGCAATCGCACTCTCTGCGATCTCACTCTCCACTCTGCTCATCTCTTTGAGCTCCCTCCATCTCTCTCTCTCTCTCTCTGCGACCACTTCTCTCTCTCTCTCTGCGACTGCTTTCTTTGAGATCTCGTTGCTGAGATCTCATTTTCTTGGGCTCTCTTTGTGTTTCTGTTTGGGTGCATTTCGGTCTGTATTTTCGGCGACTGCAGCTGCATCTCCGGCGACTGCACCATCTCCGGTGACTCCAACCTCCATTTCCGGCGACTGCACTTCCATCTCCGGCGACTCCATTTTTCTGGTAGCTATTTTTTTTCATTTTTCCTCTCAGTTTTTTCTTTATTTCCCCCATTTAAATTTTACCCTGTCCATCTTTCAATTTTTACCTCTCCCACATTTCTATTTTTCTCTGTTTTTTCTCTGATTTTCCTAAAAAAAAAATTCTATTTATTTCAGCTACTCTTAACATGGCTCAACATGAGTCTTCATCAAATTGTTCAAGAACTTCTAATCGTTCTGACCCGGGATGGAAATATGCTCATTCGGTGAAAGATGGAGATACAAACAACATTGTATGTAATTTTTGTGAAAACGTTATGAGTGCGGGAATCACTAGAGTGAAACAACATTTAATTGGAAAGAAGGGTAACGTGAAAGCTTGTTCCAAGTGTCCGGAAGAAGTTAGAAAAGAGATTGAGACATCAAAAGGAAAAAAAGAATCAAAATAATTTTGAGATGCCAAATGTGAGAAGCTTTGAAGGTATAAGCTATGATGTAAGTGAGGATGAAGAGGATACCCAAACCCGTAGCGTTGCCATTGGAAATCAGAAAGGGCCAATGGACTTGTTTTGTAGAAAGCCTGAAAGTGCAATTGAGAAAAGAAAAAAGGAAAAATTGAGACAAACAAATATAAGAGAACGATGTGACAAAGAAGCCAAGGCAAGGGTCCATCAATACATAGCTCGATTTTGGTATCAAGCTGGCCTTTCCTTTAACCTCATTAAAATGAAGAGCTTTCAAGAAATGCTTACAGCTGTTGGTACTTTCGGTCCAAATTTACCAGCTCCAAGTTATCATGATATTCGAGTTCCACTTCTAAAGAAAGAGCTAGAATATACCGATTCCCTCATGAAAGATCATAAAGAGCAATGGAGCAAACATGGCTGTTCCATAATGTCAGATGCATGGACCGATCGAAAGCAAAGATGCTTGATTAATTTTTTGGTCAACTCTCCTGCTGGTACTATGTTTGTGAGGTCTATTGATGGATCTAATTTTGTGAAGACCGGTGAAAAATTATTTGAGATGCTTGATGCTCTTGTGGAAGAGATTGGAGAAGATAAAGTTATGCAAGTGATAACGGATAATGGAAGCAATTATGTCTTGGCTGGTAAGATGTTAGAAGCGAAAAGACCACATCTTTATTGGACTCCTTGTGCAGCTCATTGCATAGATCTTATGCTTGAAGATATTGGAAAGCTTCCTTTGATAAAGAAGACAATTCAAAGGGGAATATCGGTTGTTGGCTTTATCTACAGTCATTCAAGTACCTTGAGTTTGTTAAGAAATTTTACAAACAAGAGGGAATTGGTAAGACATGCAGTTACTCGATTTGCAACTTCTTTTCTATCATTAGAAAGACTTCACCAAGAAAAAGCAAATCTTAGAAAGATGTTTACTTCTAAGGAATGGTGTAAAAACAAGTTATCAAAGGAAGCTAAAGGGAAACAAGCAACAAAAATTCTATTAAATCCTGTATTTTGGAATAATGTGGTGTATACTTTGAAAATCATGGCTCCTCTTGTCCGAGTGTTACGTTTGGTTGATGGAGAAAGAAGACCAGCTATGGGGTATATTTATGAAGCAATGGAGAAAAGTAAAGAAGCTATCATGAAGTCATTCAAAAATAATGAAAGTAAATACAAAGATGTGTTTGCAATCATTGATAACAGATGGACTTGTCAGCTTCACCGTCCATTACATGCAGCTGGTCACATTTTAAACCCGGAATTTTACTATGACAACCCTCAAATTGAATTTGATTTGGAAGTTACAAATGGGTTGTATGATTGTATCAAGAGGTTGGTGCCAAGTCGGGATGTGCAACAAAGTATACTACTTGAATTACCAATTTACAAGAGCGGTAGTGGTCTCTTTGGGTCCGACTTTGCAAAATCACAAAGAAAAAGCATTGCTCCCGGTAATTCATCAAATTCTTCAATATTTTAATTTTAAGGTTATAATTCATCTTCAGAGTTATAATTTGTCTTTCATTTTATAGCTCAATGGTGGAGAATGTATGGACATTCAGCTCCACATTTGCAGCAACTAGCTATCAAAATTTTGAGCTTGACATGTAGTGCATCCGGATGTGAACGCAACTGGAGTGTTTTTGAACAAGTAATTTTTTATCTCTCGAGCCTACTATTTTCTTTTATAAATTAGAGAGAAACTGATTAATATTCTTATAATTAAACTCACGTTGCAGATTCATTCAAAGAAGAGAAATAGGCTTGATCACAAAAAATTACATGACTTGGTTTATGTGAAATACAACCAACAACTCAAAGAACGTTACAATCTTAAAGATTTAATTGATCCAATTACACTCAATGATATTGATGAGTGTAATGAGTGGTTGGTTGGAGAAATGGATGATGATGCTCTAGATGAGGATGCTGGAAATGACTTAGTTTTTTATGGTGACAACACTTTAAATTGGGCAACTATTTATGAAGCTTCTGGAATTGGAGAGCCTACAACATATATTAGGCGTCATTCTAAGAAAAGAAAGAATCCATCAAGTGGTATCACTATCAAAGCTGCAAAAGTTTCTAAGATTAAGGATGTTCAACAACAAAAGGAAAAGAAAAAATGGTTCTTGAAGATGATGATGAAGAATTAGAAGATGAAGAAATGTCGGAAGAAACAGAAGATGAATTAGAATTTAATCTTCCACAATCTGAAAGAGAAGAAGAGGAGGGATATGCCTTGGTGGATGAGAAAGAGGATGATTATGTTGGAGTTGAAGAAGAAGACTAAATTGATAATCTTTATTTTTATTGTTAACTTGACATTTGATAATTACATATTTTGTATTTAATTATACTTTAGATTGAAGGTTATGTTACATATATTTTTAGTTAATTATTTTCTATTATTTTCTGTGACCTATAGTATTTTTTATATATTTTATTACATCCGCCATAAATCTGCCATAACCCGCCATGGCGGCCGCCATAACTTTATGGCAGTTTTTTGAATTTCCGCCATCCGCCATTAATAACATTGCTCCAATGTTAGTTTCCTTGTTTACTTTTCTATAACTTCTGTTTTGATTTATACTTTTCCAACCCATGAGGATGCCTTATCCATGCCTTTAGATCTATTAAGAAACTTTGGTCTAACTCATTCCCAAAAGCTAGCTCATGAGAGGAGGACTGCCCTAGTCCTTATAATGAGTATTCTGGCTCTATTCCTAACTAATGTGGGGGCATCTTAACACACCTCCCTCATGCCCAGAATTGGACATCTAATGCGTAAAATTTGCACTACTGGACATCTGCACGGGTGGACCCAACAGGATTGTATATCTATGGGCAGCCCAACATTCAAACTGAATAGGCTCTGATACCATGTTAAAAAACTTGGGTCTAACTCACTCCCAAAAGCTAGCTCATGAGAGGAGGACTGCCCTATCCCTTATAAGGAGTATTATGGCTCTATTCCTAACTAATGTGGGATATCTTAACAAGATCTATTGTACTTTCTTCTCTCTCCTTTCATAATAAATGACATTAGAGAGAAAATAGAGAAAGCTATTACCATAATCTAACCCATAAGCAAGAATCACATGTTGCAAAGACCAGAGATATGCTATTTACTTGAAAACAAAAGAATTAACATTAACAGTATACAGATTTAAATGAAAAGAGAACCAGGAAGTAAAAGATCATGTAAATACCTCCACGTCGTTTCCGAGATGCAAAATTATCTGTTAATCCTGCATCCCATAGAGGACTTTGAAATCCATATCCATAGGGGTTGATTCTGGGCCTCGGACTATAAGGAATACCTGATTCAGTGACAATTTGGTTATAGGTGCATAAAGCTTGTAAAGAGATTAGAGATACAGTTACTGAGAGTGTACCTCCAAAGCTTACAGGTGGGAATGAGGGTACTGGACTATATGGTACACGAGGCCTAGTATAAAGACCATAGTCATACTGTACACCAGAAGGTGGTATGAGGGATCCAACCCTGCTTGACACACCATATGGTGGGGGAGGAGGAGGAGCCCCAACACCTCCATAGTAGAAGTGGGGATGATGGGGATGACCATTGCTATATGGGCTTGTAATTTGAACAGGCTGTAGCAACCAATTACCAATCAGTTAAGCTCTCATCAAATCAAAAGTTATGAATATTTTACAAATTTAATGTCCATTTTGTTACATTGAAACTAAAAAGCATAGATACAAGACAGGACATGGATAAAATGAGATGAACTCTAGGATAGGACAAACTTAGAAATTTATAGGACCTGTCACAGCTATCATACAATGTATAAAATTAGTATAAAACTCACATCAAATTTAAATCAAAAGAGAGAACCAATGAGTTAAACATAAGCCTGACTCACTGTAGACATAATAAAATGTTATAATTTATTCCCATCCCATGTGTATTGGTATAAAAGTTTTTTTAAAAGGAATACTAAAAAAATGTAAAACTAAGCTAGAAGTATTTTGATGTGTCCGTGAAGTGCTTGGCATGGGCATGAGTCCACACAGGAACAATAAAAACACAACTACTATTTTGAAGGGTCCACACTTCTTCGCATTAAATTAATCTTTAGTTCTTAACCATTAAGAAGTCAGGAAAGTTGTAACTAGTAAACCAAAAAATATAAAAAGCAATACTATATAATAAGGAGAATTCATGCTCAAGTTCTCATTTGGCAGCATGCATTATACAGCTCAGTAAATTAGAAAACTATGCTTGCTGCATATGTTATATGAATATCTGTGCACACTGGTAAGAAAAAAAATGTACATGCTGTAGTCCTCTGCAGAAGACGGTGGATAACAGCAGAGGCAACAATATAACAGAAAACAAGCTTTATCCCAATAGACAGAGTCTGCTGCCAGAATCAAACAACACTATTGTTCTCTATTTAAAAACAATTTTTAAAAAGTTCATTTAGATAAGATCTTTTTAATTGTTTCTCCTAAAGTTCTTTGGTCTTCCTCCAACTTTTTCAATAATCCAATTGGAGTATCTTCCTCTTGATCTACTTTTCTCACTAAAGCCTCTATTGGACTGCTCCTAAGATGCATAGATACGGCTAAGGGTATTAGATATACACTGGTACAATATAAAGATACAACCTTTCTTACAAATTTAGGATATATATGACACAATATGGCATTACACACAAACATTAAATATAAGAGCGCATCAAGTTGTCAAGAGAACTTGTCTTCCTGCACTCTTTTCTTCTATTCTTATCTATATATAGTGCAAACTCATTTACAGCTGTTGATTACAAAACAATTATAATTTGTACAGCCTAAATTAGGAATTCTAAATTAGGAATTCTAAATATATACAATTAATATGCCGATTCTATTCCTTATTGATAAAACACATAATAGGAAACAAGAATAATAACAAATTCTCTAACATAACTGAGTGTAGTAGTTTAGTGTGAGATTGGAAGAGCAAAAAACATAAGTTTGTTTGTTACTTTGTGCCAACAAAACAGTGAAAATTAACAAACAAGAAATGGAACAGTCTACATTTCTTTTCTTCTGAAAAAGAAGAAAATGCTTTTTTATCATATTATGCTCCTATAGGCCATCTCTATTGAGACATCCAATGTACAGCTTTTTTTCATTGGATGTTTTTAAAATCAAGTTGGCCAGTCACCAAAAGGAAAAGCAAAAGCTTCAAATGATAATCTAATTCAAATAAACACTTACTGGAGTTGCAGGTGGTCTTGGCGCACCACAATGTCCCCTATTACAAACAGTTCTAAAAGAAAAATTTAAGTTTCCACAATTAGGGCAGGTCCAGTCTCCATCTTTCCGCGAAGCTGAATGCACAATAAACAAACATCCTCTCAGAATTGCAATTTAAAAACCAATCAATCACACTAAATCAGAATAGTAATGTAAAAATCAATCAACTCACTAAATTAGAATTGTAATTTAAAAGTTTCATTAAAATTATATCTTGACATCCATCACAAACAACAAAACTGAATACTAGATTCTCCTATTACCACAAAATCAAGCTTCCATAATTCATCTAAACAATCACCAAAATCATGATGAGAAGACCACTTTTCAAACACTGGACTACTATCTCGCACAATCAAGTCCTAGTACAGTTAACACAAACCCAAACCTCCACAAACTACTCTACACAGAGAGAGAAAGAGACTTTGCATGTGTATGCAGACACCACATTGAAAAATTGAAACAATTTACATACTAAATAAAATTAAAAGGGTAACTCTTTCTTAATCAGTTAAAATCGTAAGATTAGAGGCACCCAAATAAAAAAAATGAAATTTTTAGCTAGTTGCTACAGAGAGCATGAACCATGAAGCACCCCAATTGATAGTTACCATCGTTGCGAGACCTTTTTGAACCAAAGGAACCTCGATTACCGTCCTGCAAGCAAATTCAGGAGATACCCAGAAAGTAAAAGAAGGAAAAGAATCAAACTTTGTGTTCAGCAAATAACAAAGAAAGAAGAATAAGAAGAGGGTATGGAGTAGATATAGAAAATTTGCATGGAAGTGAAAGCAAACCCACCATGGGAGAAGGAGAAGCCATGAGAGAGAGAGAGAGAGTAACGACAAACAATGAAGAAGAGGACGCGGTGTTTGTGTTTTATTATATATTTGATTTTATATTTCCAGCAAAAGAGTAGCCACTTTTATTTTTTATTTTTTAACTTCTCCTTCAGTTTTTTTATTTTGTTTTATCATATTATTTATCACATTATTTATCCTTTTTCCTTTTTTTTTTATCTCTCACAAAAGATCTACATTTCATAAATAGATAATAACCCTTTTATAAAAAATAATAATAATTTCTTTACACCTATACAGTATATTTAGCTCTCTTTGAACTTTTATTTTATTTTTTTAACACAGTATACTATTTATTATAATTTTTATTTTTATGTTATTTATTTTTCACTAGCCAGATATGTACAGTTCCTAAGTATATAATAATTGTTTTTCAGAGGAAAGAAAAACGAGATAAAGAAATAAACAAACTTGTTTGTTTTTTGCTCATTGTTCATCTACTTTTAAATTTTATAGTAGTTGGTAGCATTAGTTGTTAATATCAGTAAATGAAAATAAAAAAAAATATTAACAAAGAAAATGCTTATTAAATTTTTATACCTTTTTATATATATTTTTAACGAATTTTTTAGCTATTTAAAATTAGACACAAGAATTAATGTCACTAAAATTGATAAGCTTTTCAAGAAAAAAAAATATTTGTTTGTAAGATTGTTTTGAAGCAATTTTAAATGTGATATTTGAAAGGTGAGTTTTTAGCATAATCACGTTTAAAATCTTTTTATTTGTTGATTTTATGGAATTTCTAATTGAAATTTGAAAACTTCAAATAAAGCTCTAAATCTAAACTATCGCAATTCAAAAAATTGGAAAAAAAACAATTCAAATGAGAGAACAAAATAATATTTAAATATAATAATGATAGTTAAAATATAATTTCATGGACTGATCCTCTTTTAGATGAGAGTAAAGAAATTGGGGAGAAAAAAGGAATAAAAGAAGAAAAAATAAAGCCCTCTGATATTTGATAAGAGATACTGAAAAGAGGAAAGAGAAAAGAGTGAGGAGGGTTTTTTTGTTTAGGTCCCCAAATTAGGAGGAAGTAAGGTGGAGAGTGTGGGGATGGCCGGGCTAGGAGTTTTTAAAAAATTGTATTTTTAAAATAATATTAAAATTTATAAAAATAAATTTTTAATAAAAAAATTATAATAGAAAATTAATTTAATTTAAATTTTTATAAATATATTTAATACAATGTTATTTTTTTTACTCATTCAAAAAAGTAGAAATATATTTGCTTAATACTTTACTCAATTCTTAGAAAATTTATATTTTTCCTTATTAGAAATATTGCTTTTGGTAGTGTTGTACCTATGAATAATGTGAAAATTGTTATTTTAAATGAAAAAATGCATAGGAAAACTTTGGAAAAATTGTTATTTTAAATGAAAAAATGCATAGGAAAACTTTGGAAGCACATCTTGTTTTTAATATTGTACAACATGTAATATTCTGTTTTTAATATTACATAATTATTTTATTTATAGCTACACTTTTTTTAATTAAAAAATAATTTAGAATTGTGAAAATTGTATAGGGTCTCGCTCAAGTGAAACAAAATTTTTTGAACTAGGCGTTTCAGAGTATTCTCACTCAGGCGAGAAGGGATAATATCGCTCTAACTATTCTCTTGCCCAAGTAAGAAGGCACAAGGTGAATGAAGAGCTCTTTAGACTTAATCTCGCGTAGGCGAGATGGGATTTCACTTCAAGCGAAAATATCAGAAAATCAGTATAATTCTTTTATCTGGTATTGCTCAAGCAAGAAGGGTCTCACCTAGGTAAGAATGTATCTCGCTCAAGTGAGAATTTGTTTACTCAAGTAAGAATTAGCAAGCTAAAAAGGGTAATTAAGGAAACTTTTGTTTTGAAAACTTGTATTGTAAGCTAAACAACCCCTCACTCACTTTTCTCTCATTTCCTTCCTCAAAGAAACCTCTCCTAAAACTCCAAACTACTTCCAAATCTGAACCTAAACCCCTTTTACACTCGATTAGAAGTAAGCTCCTCAAAACTCAGTTCTTCGAACTTGTCTCTATTTCTCTATTTTTCTCCCTTCTCAAAGGTGTTTTATTTTGTAACATATGTAAGAAGAGTTTGATCCTTTGGATACTATTTTCCTTAAAACTTCTAGTAAATCTTCTCTTTGAGGTAAAAAGAGCTCTATCATGCTGTTAAAACATTAAGTATAATTGTAATCATGTAAGTGTAAAGTTGTGTGTATTTGACTCATGAATATGTATTTAAATGGAAATTTTGTTATCTATTACGGTTGGTGATATATGTTTGGCCGCTAATGTTGAATGATTGGAATGTATCTTTCATTGTAATATCTGTTTTGGACTAAGTCTAGATGTGCTTGACTTTAGGCACGATATACTTAGCTAAGTGGTGAAAATGGATAGATAAAAGTATATTGTAAGTTGTGGTAATAAAAGAGATTAGTATAAATGGTTATAGAGATACACTAAGAGTATAGAGTCCGAAGACAATTTAGGAAATTTTGAAAAAATGAGGGTGGTAAATGCTATTTGTAATGACTATGCATAAATTTATTAGAACGAAAGTATCATAGGCCTCACATTCATGATTATACTTTTGATAAAGGGCTTGTAATTATGTGTGTTGTATCTGTGTGCATGGGCTAACTAACAACCATTTACCTAAATGTGTAAGACCTTATGAAATGTTAGAGGCAGTAGTTAACTGTAATCACAGTGCACGAGAGAGTGTAGATACGAGAAAGAGATAGATCTTGTTATAGTTATAGTTATAATTATAGTGCATGAATTATGATATTCTTTATATATGTTGTACTGTATTTGTTGCTATAAGGTTTTCTATTGTGATATTTCACGTTTGTATGTTTATGTTTTAATGGTGAGAAGAGAATTCATCCTTACAAATAATTTTCAAGAAATAAGGATGACCATTCCACCAAGACTCAATAGGCTATTGGAGTTTAGTATAGAGAGTAAATTAAATTATATATTTAGGGAATGGTAGAGGGTTTGTCATTGTAAGTTTATTATACCTAATGGAAATGAACTTGGTAATGTTTGCATAGTAAAATTCACCATAGGATATAATGTTCCTTTTAATTTTCCTGCTAGTAGTGGAATACACCACACGTTATGTCTGTATGTGTATAGAGGTACAATTTGGATGCCCAATGCTGTGAATCTTATGTATACTTTTCACGACCATGATCAGATGGGAAGACCAACCACTTTCACTTAAGAGCTGATCAATGGCATAGAGGTTGTCGTTGATATCAAAGACATTTACAATGAAGACTTGATTCTAGAAGAGTTAGAAAAAATAAAGGGTTGTTTTGACAATGATGACTAGGAGCATTCCCTTAGTATTTTTCCTTTTTTGGTGTGGATCCATACTGCTCATTAGGATTTAGATTTTTTTGATAATGTAATTATGTAATATTGAGTCCTAATGTATTTTGGATAATGATTTGTACACATTAAACATTGTATATGAAAGAAATCTAATGTATTTATATATATTTCTATTGTTAATGTGTAGTCTTACTTAGTAAAGTGTAATGCAGTTATAATTAACTAGCTTTTTCTTTTGTCTCAAATGCTTTTGTACATTTTTAAATTAATTGAGAAAATAAAATTTCACACCATAATTATAAGAAACTCATCCTAACTCTACTTATCTCAATAAAAATTATTATATTTTAAGGAAAAAAAACTGAAAAATGTTACACAACATCAAACTCTTAAGGTATGATAGTCTGAAACTCCACTTCTATTCATTGATTGCAAAGCTTAAAATGACAACAAAGTTGTTTCAATCCTTTTAAGGTGAGGCTTTATATGATTTTTTTTTCATGTTATTAACTTGTTTATTATTGTACTTTATAGGATGATATTCTTAATTATGTGTGGTATGGTAAGAATGTCTTTTACAACCACTTGCATTTCTTTAACTACAAAGTTTTACTTTAAAGATGAGTGTATCTTGATTAAAAACTACTTTTAACATTAGTTGGTGAACCAATGTAGATACAAGTTATGTAATAAGTTAAGAGATTTACATCAGTTAACTAAACAAAATAGATAATATACATATTCTACATCTGTTCTTTAACTAATTGATGTATAAAATATTTTTTATGTTAATGTTTGTTAATGATGTCATTGTTCCTCTAAAAGATCCATCAATGTCAATAGTGTAAATATTCGTTGTCAATATTTACTTAGGATTTAATCTTTATTAAGTCTATAAATAAAAAAATGTAATGTTCGTGAATATTTACTTGAAATTTAATCTTTGTTGAATTTATAAATAAAAAATGTGTCTTGTTTACTAATATTATATATCAATGGGCTAATGGATAAGAAAACACATAATGAAGTAAGATAAAATTATTTATGTACTTAGTAAAAGTTTGTATTTATCAATGACGTACTTAATAACACTAATAGAAGTTTGAAAATGTAAATAAGAATTCATGTTTATCAATCCATAGTAAAAAAATTTATTAGAAGTTTGAAAATATAAAAAGTTATATTTGATATCTCTAATTTATATTATTTTACTAGTATACGCTTTTGAAATATTTTATTTTAAATTAATTTTTATATCAATTTTAGAAATAATCAATATAAAAAGTATTATTTATCAACTTATGTGAAAAGTGATATAATTTTTCACTTTTGTAAGAACCATAATTTTTAGTGCAAAGTTTCAACATTTATAAACTATATATCTATTTTATTTATTTATTTTAATAAATTCTAACATTTTTTCTATTTTTTAGTTTTTACATCAGTTCATTTTGAATAGATATACTTCAGTTTGAATTAACATTAAAAAAATTATGTTATTTTCAAAAATATCACTATACTTTTCTTTTTATTAAATCAATTAGCGTAAAAACCTTTTTTTTTTTTTCCCTAGCTACAAGTTTCTTAAACCAATTTGGGAAGTATATGCATAGTCTAATTTCAACAATGGTGATGATGTGCAACAAGTACAATATTCCTAAAAGATAGTACCAATTCATACATGCCAATTATATTATAAAGGCACACTCTTTTATCTCTTTTAAAACTTCCAAACATATTAAGCTTTGTTCCCAAATTATGTAATTTTTAATTTCCAATGATCATTAAACTAGTTCTTGCCAATTAACTGTCCTCTTTTTGTCGATTTAATGTTCAAAAAAGAATACACCACTATAACACCGTATACAATTGATTCTTTGTGTAAAGATTTTTTTTTAAATTATGCGATATTTATATTTATTTTATTATCTAAATCTTTAACATATTTCATTTATAATGTTAGTTGATGGTCATGCCAACCTTTTTTTCCCTTTTGAAATATTGTTAGTTTTATGGGTCTTTTTATTCAGTGCATGATACCTTTTCTGGCAATATTTTTACAAAAATTAAAATAAATTATGTTAGGGTCACGTTGGTATGAAATTAATTAATGTTAAAATATTTTAAAAATAAGTGTCATTAATAAAATTTTATTGAAAGCTAATCCATGACTTTTTATCGCTATAAAACATTCGGTCTCGAAAATCTATTATAAAGGAAAGTAAAATATCTAAATTGTTAATGAAAAAAAAAAGAATAAAGAGAACAAAATTATAAATATATATATATATATATATGATAATATTTTAATTTTTTTTCTTCTTTAATTTTCTTTGATATGCTATAAGGTCACAGGTGTGTGTGTGTTAGATTTGTAGATGGGACTTAACCCCACATAGGAAAAGATCCACATGTAATGTAAAGCATATTATATGTTAATAGTTACACTTTTACCAACAACTTAATTTTTGGCATAATAATAAGCGTTTTTTTTTTTTCATCTCATTTAGTATTAGAATTAACATGAATTCAAATATCAAATTCAATATATTTTTTAATTATCTCAAAAAATTTGCTAGCAAGCTTTTTTCTAAAAGGAAGGATGCAAGCATAATGATGAGCATTTTTTTTTATCATGTCATTTTTCTTAGAGGTAAATTTCCAAGTAGTTTAGCATTTTGCAAATGATTGGGTCTATTTGTGTTCCTTTACTTCATCTTAGATGATTAGGTTGAGTCAATTATCAAGATTTAATTTAATTCTTTTGAAGTAAAGAGTGTATAAAATAAATAAATATTAATTCCTCAAATTTTTATTTTTTTTTGCAAATATACAATTATTTCTTATTTTAGATATCTTCTTATACATTAGAATCGACAATAAAAAAAATCACATTGAATGTAATACCCATGAAGGTAGAACCAAATTAATATTAATAAAGAATATGAAACAAATTATAACAGTGAATGAAGAACAAAATCAGCTAGAATGACCCATAAGATGATCACTCCTCCATATCCCACTTCTCTGACGTGTCAATGATGCTGGCTCGGCTCATCTTCGTCTTCGGCTCCAAGCCCAGCCGCACTGAACTCGGCTCACTCAAACCCCGCTTAGCCACCAATTTCTGCGGCTCAGCAACATCGCAGCCAATCAAATGGGGAAAATTCAGCTTAGCTTTGGAGCCGCGCATTCTGAAAGCAGCTTGATCATAAGCCAAAGCCGCATCCTCAGCCGACTCAAATGTCCCGAGCCAAACCCTCGCGCCGTTCTTCTTCGGATCCCTAATTTCCGCCGCGAACTTTCCCCACGGCCTCCGCCTCACTCCCTTGTAGCTTTGACAACACTGAGGCGCGTGGCTCTCACGCGCCGCCGCAGCCCCACAATTAACCGGTGTCGTCCGTTCTAACGGAGAGTCGACGACGTTATCATGAAGTGTGGACGTTGATTCAGCGCCGTTAGCTGTGGCGAAAACCTCCGTTAGAGCAGTGAAATCATCGGTATCGTTAAGGAGATGTTGTCGAATAGATTCTAGAAGAGCTAAATCGGAATCAAGAGTGGTGTTGAGATTCATTATACGATTCTGAAACTTGGAAGTTGAAGTGTAGTGTTGTAAGAATGCGAAGTGCTTCTTCGTTTGAAGGTAGTATAAGTGTGAAATAATGGGACCCCAAATGCGTTATTTATATGGGTGTCCTCTGTTTGAAAGGTTATAGGTTTTGGCTGTGACATTGTTGTACTTTGTTCTTCTTTGGTTCTACGAAGCCTCCTAAGATTTTGACGCATGGGTTTTTAGGGTATTTTGAAATCACAAAATAATTTGAATCACGTGCTTTAATGAGTTGGATAATATTATTTAATTGGCCTAATTTAATTCCTTTTATATTAAAAAAAGTTTGAAGGAGCTGGTAATGTGTCACTTTGTTATTATTAAAAAAGTTAGAAGGAGCTGATAATATAATATTATTTGGTTAGCTACATTAATTTCCAAGATATTACTATAATAACTAGGCAATGTTCATGGATTTTGTAACTTAGCGGTAAAAATTTAATTGCACATTGAGAAAAAAAACAGTATCAGACAATTTTAAATTCTGTGAACGTTTTATATACCCGCTCAAGTAAACTTTTTAAATAAAATTTTATAGAAAAAAATTAACATAAAAATAAATAATTTTTTTATATTAAAATAATTTATATTCTTTAAGTTTTAGAAAAGTTAAATAAAAATTTTGTGTATATATAATTTTATACACAAAATTTAAATTATGTCATTTTGTCAGACATTAACAGCCTTTCACTGGACCTAATTGTTTTTAGCATAATTTTTATATTTCTCTATGGACAAATTCTTACCCAAAGCTTCTGTGTCTCAATTAGTTGTGCTTCAACAATTAGCTATGTCATATATATCAATAAGTTACTGACACATTAATCTATGATTAATTAGCGCAATTAATCATATATAAATAATTTATCGGCCTAATGTTTCAATTTAACAATTATTAAAACAAATTGAATATTTTTTATTTTTTATAATATTTAAAACGAGTTGGGACATGTTCATAATTAAAAAATTTGTATACCCACATGCTCCAAGTCTGTAAGTTATTAACACGTTTTAAATTAATAACAATCAAAACACAATTTTAAAAATAAGTTTTAAAAACAATAACATAATCAAACAGCCCCTTCATCTCTATGACTACTATATATTTTATAGCTCAAATTAACATGAAGGTCAAATTTGATCCCTTAAAATGGGAATGGAATTATGGATGTCCCTTGTTTCTCTTCATGGACTTGTGTGTAACACAGTGATTAATGCTAGTAAGTTTGGTCACATTTCCCATGAATTTTATATGCAAGCCTTTTTCTAGTAAGTTTTGTTATATGTATTTTTTACAAGAAATAGTTTTACTTCAAATACAATTAAGCATTAAACATTAGGTATTTTCTTTAATAAAAATTCAAATCATAATCTACTACTTTATAAGGAATTAATCTTTTAATTTCCTTGGAATTAATCTACTACAAATTAATATATATAATGACATTATATACATATTTTCATAAAATATTTTTCATTTTTCTTAAAACGCACAAACTTAGCATTACGCTTATTATTATTTGAAAAAAAAGGGAGCAGAAAAGAATACATTTTTTAAAATTACAATTATATGCATATACTTTCATAATATTTTTACTGCAAATAAGAACATATATGATTGAAAATTTAAATTATTTATATTCAACTAATCACACGTGGCGAAGAACGCTGTGATTTCAAGTTTCAATGCCATTTCATGTATTCATTGAAGCTTCAAAGAAACAACCCACATGAAAACAATATTAATTTAATTAAAGAAACATCACGTTGTTCAAACTCAGATTCAACTCTCAAGCAAAGAATATAAAAATGCAAACAACTCCCAAACACTGGTATAAATGCACGAAGCGTTTTTCTTCAAGCAAACACAAACCTAAGTGCATCATCGAGTAACAAAAAAGTAAAACCATCACCATCACCATCATCATCCAACGTTAACATCGCCACTACAATGTCTTTCGATATTTCTTCGTTGGAATCTGTTCAACACTATCTTCTCGACCTTGAACACGATTCCAACACTCTCACCAATGTTTCATGCCACAAAATATGTTACACTTCAACGAACCAGCCTTTTCCAAGCCCCACTTTAGGCTTCGACAATATCAATGAAGCAAAGGAAACGGTGGCATGCAAAAGAGAACAACCTGCGAGGGCGCGTGAAGTTCACGCGCCACCGGAATGGAAGCGCTACCGAGGCGTGCGGCGTAGACCATGGGGAAAGTTTGCGGCAGAGATAAGAGACCCAAAGAAGAACGGTGCAAGGGTTTGGCTTGGGACTTATGATACTGAAGAAGAAGCTGGGTTGGCTTATGATAGAGCTGCTTTCAAGATGCGAGGAAACAAAGCTAAGTTAAATTTTCCTCACCTTATTGGATCTGATGTGCCTTCCAAGTCCATGAAAACGCTTAAGATTTCGAAGCAACAAACTTTGAAATCTTATTTATCATTTTCATCGAATTCAGAAACACAAAAGTTACCGATGAGGAAGAAGAATTTGGCCAATCTGTTGAACAAGTTGGCCAAAAATACAAAACAAATTAAGGTGTTTAGAATGAGTTTACAAGCAAACGGTGTTGATGTTGATTAATGGTGAAGTCAGTTAGAATGATTGTGGTGCAATTTAATGCCAATAAAGGTTAAGATATTTGATATTAGATAAGAATAGAGACAAAATTTTATTTAGATGAATTAGAATAGATAGTTTTTAGAAGTGAGTTAGATCCAAGTTGTTTGACAATAAGCTTTCACTACTTTTTGTAATGACTTTTGCATTCACTCCCTTTGATGAGATTCATTGGGGTGATGTTTGTCACAAGGTTTATGTTTTAGATGAGAATCTTAGGCATCAATAAGACCCAAAAAGAAAAACAAAATGAAAATTGAAAGGTGTTACTCATTACCTTTTTTCAATTATTTTTTCAGTGTAAAAATAAAAAAAAATTATAATATTTTGTATTAGAATTAACATGAATTCAAATATCAAACTATTTGCTATCACCCAAAGAAAAAAAATACAACTATAAACAAGAAAATCCACAAAATCAACAATTTTAAGCATAAACAAGATAATAGGAATTACCCAATCTAAGTAAACCAATTAAGATATCTATAAAATTCTTTTTTATTTTTCATTGTTTTCTTCTTTTATTTTTCTATTCTAGACTCAAAATCTGCGCTTCTAAACATGATAGAGCGAATCTAGAACACTGTTCTTTATTTTCCTTTTCATTGTTTTCTTCATTCATTTTTTTTATTCTAGACTCTAAATTTGGGCTTCCAATAAAAATTTTAAGCAAGAGTGTTTTATACATTTTGGGCTTGACCCAGAGCTAAAAATAAAAAAAAAACGAAGAAAATTAAATAAAAAAAATACTAAAAATAATATATAACAATGGTGTTATAAGAACACACTTAATGTATCTTTCTATGTGAGTAGAAAGGTAGAAGCTGTCTTCTATAAAAAAAATTAGTCAATTTTTCTGAAACAATCATGAGAATCTAAAAGTACATAAGAATGGATTTCAAAATATGTTGAACATTTTCATTATATGGAGTTTTTACAATTTTAAAGGTATAACGTGTATTGTGCAAATGTCAAATAAATCTATTTAATTGAAAATTAACATTTATTTCAAAACTTAAACATGTGAAGGTACACTTTACAATTTTGGACTAGAGTGGCTCAGTAAAAATATTCAGAAATTGCTGTGACGAGATAAGATGATGACACAAAAATTATTAATGGATCAAATGAATATAATTACAAGAACAGGAAAATTTTCAATATATAAATATAGAAGTAAGTATTATAATATCTTCTTCAAATTCTCAGGTAATATTCATGAACAATAATACTAACATCGAAAAAAGAGAAAGGAGACAAAGAAAAGCACGCTCTTCCCTCTCTCTCTCTCTCTCTCTCTCTCTGGCTGCAGCAGGCTCAACGACAGTGAGAGGATAAACATTATCATTTGTTAGCATTATGGCAGTTTCTATTAAAATGTTGTTCAAAAAAGACATGCACGTTCAATTGTCGACAGAGAGAAAGTCACTCAGATTCCAAATTATGTAATTTTTTTAACAGTTATATGATGTTGATTTTATATTTTTATATTTTTTTAGTAAAAATTACTTTTATTAAATATATTATCTACATGTAAGTTAATATTTGTTGATATGTAATATTAATATCTCTTAATAACTTTATATAAAATTAATTGATTTAATTATTAAATTATATTTTCATAATTATAAATATTATATTTCATATAAGTTGGATTGAGTGATAGCACATTCTATAAAACCTTAATAAATAGTATAAATATTTAAAGTTAATACCTATTAACAACAGATTTTGTATATATATATATATATATATATATATATAATTTTTTTGTAAATTTTTTTATAATTGTATATAATTTTTTATTCACAAAAAATGAATTATTATTATTATTATTATTATTATTATTATTATTATGAAATTACATATGTAATTTTATGATAATATTGTAAAATCATTAACAAGTGAATAAATAAAAATATTAAAAATATAATTTTGTTAAATTTTAACTTTATTTAATTTCAATTTACATACATAGTATTAATTATGTTTTTATTTTTATAAAAGTAACATTATTTGTGATATTTTTTTAAAAAAATATATAAGATTTACTTTTAATTTATTTAAAATGTTAAAATTTAGTTTACATTATTAATTTTTTTATGATAAGTTGGATAATGGAAATTTAATTTATTATGATTACGTTAATTTTTATTATTTAAAATGAGTTTAGAGTCATATTTATAAATATTAATTTTAAATAATAAAATATATAAAAATAATAATGTAATATTTGATATTGAACAGATTTGTCGAAACCTCCTTTTGCATCTCTGTCAAGTAAAATTAAAAATTCAACCTTTCCACTGTTAATCACAAATCAATTGGCTGTAGAGTGAATTTAAGATATTCATCGTTCCTTTTTTCTCCCATGCAACCTCTTCTTTTTGTTTGCAAGGTTGAGTAGGTGAGTTCAAGATCAAGAACGACTGCGCAACATCATATTCGGGTTTTTTTTTATGATAGTACCATTTATTTTATTATATATTTTTCTTCTTATATCTTTTCTTTTGTACAAAATTTTGTATAGAAAAGGTATAAACTGCCGTTTCTCTTTTCACTGGCTTCTTTAATAAAAGGTTTGAATTCAACCTTCTTTAAATTGAAATTGTATTTTATTTATTGGTTTTATTAACCATAATCTCTTTTTTTTTTTTCTAATTATCAACCATAATCTTTAAAATTAAATATTATATGCATATAAATAGTAATATTTTATTAAAAATCTAAGAAATAGTTTTTATAATATTTTATAATTATTAATTGTTAAGTTCAATTTTAAGAATTAAAATTAATTGCACATAACAAAGAGTACTCAACCAGATAAATTTTAACATTAAGTGATCCAAATATATTTATTGAAGAAACAATCCAATGGTGTAAGTTTAAAAATTTTTACACTCGATAGTGAAAGTTTTTTTAACTTATACAATTGTATTTGATAATAAAGGAGATGAAAAGAAAATGTAAGTAAACTAAATAATTAATAAATATAATAGAAAATTAAGTAAAAATATTATTATCCACTGTTATTAAGAAGACTGAAACCCAGTAGTATAAATATATAAGGCTTTATTCTTGAAACACCACAAACATGTTTCAAGTTCTGAAAGGAGAAAAGCATCGCCATCTCCATTAATACCCGCAACATGGCTGCTACAATATATTATGATGTTTCTTCTTTGGAATCTATTAAAGGCTATCTGCTTGAGCATGAACACGATTCAAACACTCTAATGAATGATTCCAACCACCAAACATGCTTTTCTCCAACTTACAATCCATTCAAAGCCCTAGCTTGGGCTCTATTGGATTGGAGAGTATCCATGATGCCAAGAAATTGGAGGGATGCAAAAGGCAACAGTTTACATCGTCGCGTGAAGTTCACGCGCCACCTAAAAGGAAGCACTACCGGGGTGTAAGGCATAGGCCACGGGGGAAGTTTGCAGCAGAGATAATGAACCCTACAAAGAATGGCAGTAGGATTTGGCTTGAGACTTATGAGACTGAAGAAGAAGCAGCAGCTTTGGCTTATGATAGAGCTGCTTTCAAAATACGTGGGAGTAAAGCCAAGCTCAATTTTCCTCATCTCATTGGTTTTGATAAATTTTTAAAGCCAATGAGAGTAATGGAAATTAACAAACAAAATTTATTAGAATCTTGTTTGTCTCCAGTGGAATCACAAGGGTCAAATAAAAGAAAAAATTTAGTTCATCTATTGAATAAGTTAGCTAAGAATAAAAGAAATGTTACGTGCTCAATAAATTTGAAGTTTTGAAGTAGAATTTATGTATGAGATTTGATATTTTGTGTGTTTGGTTTAATTTACTTTTAGAATAATTTCTTGTTTCGGCTAAGTTTTTTAGAATTATTTTAAAAAAATGATATTTTTTCTTGATTTTTTTTTTCAAAACAATCACATGATAAATTAACAATCTTTATATTATACATTTTTAGCTTTTGCTCTATGTACAAATTATTAAAAGGATACCATAATGTAATCTTTAATGATATTTCATTTGCAAAAGGGTGTGTGGACATGAGTGAAGATACTGTTTTGCATTTGAGCATACAACTAGAAATTCACAGTCGTCAATCAGATGAATAGGGTAAGATTAGCATTATTTAAAGGTGAAGTCAAAATTTTAAAATAATTATTTTTAAAGTAAAATAATTATAACAAGACAAATTCATCCATCATCACTAAAAAAAATATAAACAGTCCAAATTCCAATCCAATCATATGCAATGGTTAGACATAGTTCTAGGATGATGATTTCTAATGGGTTTCAATCTAAAATAAAGTTGTAAAATAGACTATTTGATTTGATCGGTCAGCTTAATTTGAATATTAGATTATATTAAGATAGACAAAAATAATTACATTTGAACAGTAAAATATAGTAGTTTAAATTTTTTTTAAAACTACATTTTATCTAATTGATGTAAAACTAATTAATAAAAATTTTAGATAAAAAATCTAAACTTAATTCGACTTTATTTTAATCAAATCAATTACGCTTACTCATCTTATGAGTAAATGATTTACAGGCTATAATTTAAAGTAAAAACTGCTTTTGCTGTGGATATAAAGTTTTGATCCATTAATACACCACAGAATATTTGCTTTTAGTTTTTTTTATCTGTGTTATTTGTAAACTATAGTCCTCATGAAAATCAGCTTCAAAGTTTGAAGCTTTGGACCCAATTATTAGCATCGCAAATTTGTATCAATTAACAATTAAGGCATATCAGTTTAACTATGAAGCCATAAAATTAAAGGAGGAGAATCAACAGCAAATTCATCACCAACCCATCGTGGACCACTATTTGATAAATGATTGACCCATAATTTTGCTCCTTGTTCGTGATTGAACTTGCTTAATTGTCGTTTTGTTCTCAGCTACGAGTATATCCCACCAGCTTAATCAGGGATTATATTTTAATTTTAAATGTTTTATCAC